AGGAGTAAGGAATATGTCTTCTCCTCCTAGACCAGTGTGTCATGGGCCATGAGAGAAGGAGCATCACTGGAGAGGACAACAGGGATTCAGAATCTTCTGGAAGGAACCATGTTTTGGTGGATTCTAGAAGATAGAAGCAATACAAGAGGAAGTGGCCTAAGATAAAAGGAAATGTATTAACCATAGAATAGAAGTTGAACAGAGGACAGTTGGAGGGCTAGGTAAAACTGAATCATTGGGACTTGAAAGAGTTGGGTATGTGAAATAAATTAGTTCTGCTAGTTAGAGAAAAAAATGAAGGAATGATGTTCAAGTCTCCAGACTGGCTAGATAGAGTGTTGACAGCTGTCCTGTAACTCCAAAGATAAAATCAAGTTAGGCAGCTAAAGGAAATGAGGTTGAAAACTGGGTTGAGAAAGATCTTTACCATGTCCTCTTCCCCCTACATTTCTTCCATATTGTATTTGTGTAAGACTAATAAAGTGTTATGCTTGAATATTAAGTCATTGGTGAATTTTTGTTCTCTGTTATTAACAATTTTTCCTCCACCCCTTATAAAAAGACATGGCACATTTTCCCTACCTCTATCCACATTGTAAAAAACCAGAAAGGGCTGTGATGTTGGGCCCAATATTGTGTATAAGTTATGTTTGCAGTTAAAGGGATAGTATTATAAGTTAAAATTATGTGCCTTGTGTATAGTAACTGAATGTGTGTTTAATTGGACTACTATTATGATACATATGAATGTTTCAAACTAGAATTTGACAATATTTCTATAAAGATGTGAGTACATTAATATCATGTTGTAATAGAGTAAGACTCCATTGTGATCTGTCAGTGGAGGACAAGGGTAACACCTTCTATAAACTGTATTATGAAAGATGTACATAGAGGATATAGTTTGATACTATGAGTTACTACTTTACATGAGTAAAAAATTACAATTCAACTCCTATACAGATCCTTTGAACCTTAGAAAATAGAACACATAACAACTTCTGAACCTTTCCAGTGTCTTTACATTGTAACCCCCCATTCTATGTCACTTTGAAAGCTCTTAATGGTGTGATCTGGCAAGAGCAGGGAGAGGGAGGGAATGTCCTTCTAGACAACTATCCATTCACTGTAGACATTTTGTATGAGTAATAAGAATTCTACCCTGCAAATTATCTCGATGTATGTACCCAGGATCACACAATGTACAAAGTCAGTTCTTTCTATATTGCTTATTTTCATCCTATAAATTTTGTCTATTCAAAAACTGCCAGAATATTTTGTCACAGATGAGCTGTGACTCTTCACTCTTGACTTTTGATTTTCAAAAAATTTTATATCAAAATATGAAATTCTATTTTCTAAACACTTCATTTAAAAAAAATTTCATCTTGGTTGTCAGTGACTTGTCTCTATATCACATCATACTTTTATCTCCCTATCTTGGTATTTTAAAAAAAGAGAGATGGATTAGAAAGAATCATGTAAAAGAAAGGGCACTGGATTGTAGGACCTGGGATAAAAATAATTTGCTACCTGTGTGACCCCAAGAAAATCACTTAATCCCCCTTCCCAGGTCTCCGTTTCCTTATCTGCAAATGAGAGAATTGGAAAATGTGATTTTCCAGTTCTAAATTAATGATTGGAAGCCAGATAGGCTTATTACTCATCTCCAAACTGACCCAAGCTGTTTCTCTTAGGGAATACTGAATAAACACCATTGTTTCAAACAGCTCACATAATACAGCTATCACTTTTCCATCTCTGTATACCTTAGACACAGTATTACAGCATATTACACCAAGAAATCAGTAGCCTTGTGCAAGTTTTTGCAATATCTGTATCCTCAGACTACTTTCCAGACCAATAGTCCTCAATAAAGATCCGGTCCAACTATTATGTAACAATATTCCAACTAAATAGCCATAATGACAATTAAGTCCAATACTTTTAATATACAAATACAATAATAGTTCAATAATATCACATCAGCAAATAATGACAATAATTTCAACAGCACTTTGAAACAATAGCATATAAGTTATTTCTGAATCGACTGTTCCAGCCTAGAAAAGTAATATCACAAAACTGTGCTATCTAATCACAGCCTAGGAGGGAAAATTTCAAAATTTCAAAAAGAAAGATCTTCAGCAGATCCCTGCAATGCTAGAACATATAAACCCAGAGATCCTAAATGATCTCCTATAGATCTAACTTTCTGGGGTCTCTTATGTGGCCTTCTAAGTTTTTTCCAGGGCCAAAGTACTGTTAGAATAATTATCCACTCAAATCCATAGTTCACTATACCCATTAATGTTTCTTGTACCAAACCAAACCAATTCACCATGAATTCTAATCAAAAGTATTTAATCAAATAGAATAACAAAAACAGAATTTAATTAGGTATCAAAACACTCTTGCTTCCCCATTGCCAAACGACTGCCACCTTCACACATGTCACCTGAGGGATACTCATCTCATTTCTCAGGTAAGTGATCTGTCTCATCACCAACATAATAGGAAGGAGATTACATCAGTCACTCATAGGAAGCTGCAGGGGTATAGGGATGCTGAGCTTGCCTTTATGGAAACAAGCTGTTCACTTGAAACCCCAGGCAGGTTCTGAGTTCTCTGGCTTCTCAGCACCAGAACCTGAGAAGATGCTAGAGCTCAGAACAAAGATGCCATTTTCTAGCTATCTCTTCCCTGGTTAAACCCTATGTTTTACCAACTCTGACTCTCATTCTTCTTGAGACCATCTTTTTGGCCCTGTATATCTACTCTGTATAGAGTACCACAAATGATTGTCGAGCAGTTGTCTTAGAATTCTTCTCGAGCACACAAATATGATAAATGTGGCACTTGGCCTACTGCAAAAGCTTTGCTAAACCTTGAGCTCCAAGGTTGTTTAAAATGCTTCTTCCTCTGTCTGTAGGGAGAAGCACTCCTCTGGTTAGAGTAGCATAAGAATAGAAATCTGTTTAGTTGCAGACATGTCATCATCCAGTGGGGAAGGAAAAGCAGGGGAAAATAAACTCATCAGGGAAATACAAAATGGAAATACTCTCACATCCAACACTTCTCAAAACTCCTCTCAGTTGACATTTTATTTAAACTGCTTTGATAAATAATGAGCAATCAGCTATGCAATGTTGTGGTTTTTAAGTGAGGTCATAATTAGCTTCTTTCTGTATATAACCCATGAAAAAAATTTTCTGAAAGTAGGAAACTTCACTAGAGAGAATTTGGGAACCTGGACTGATATGCAATGATAAGTCCATTTTAATTTCTCTAAATTAAGTAGAAGCCTACAAATCTTTTTATGCTAAACTTCCATAATTGGTCCATAATGACACTGTCAAGGGATTTCATTTCATCAGTGTGATGGGTGAAGATAGTCACATATTTTATCTTACAAAACTAAGTTGCCAGTTATGCAAAATGCTTATTATCTTTTAAGTTTGAAATATTAAAATATTAGCAGTTGCTATATGCTGATTTTTTGTATTTAAATTGCATCATTTACTCTGATACTAATTTGTAAATGAATGAATGAAGCATTTAAGTGCTTACTATGCAAAGCAGTATGATTTAATTAAATTAATTAAGTTTAAATCTCATCCAATAATAATTTTCAGTGATAATCTGTATTGTTATTATACTAATCTGCCCCTAGCTTTACACATCTGTTATTCTCATGTTATTCTCACAAAAGATAGGAAGGAGTAGGGGTGACCTACAGATGGAGAAAATGATGTACCAAGAGATTAGTTAAATTGTTCTAAATCAATGTGTTCATTATAGGCAGAGCTAGGGTCATTATTTAGCTCCCAGGTTTTTAGTTCGGTATTTAGACCCACTAGACTGTATTGTTTCCTTTTACTTAAAGTAGATTCATTATCCTCATTGTCAGTCTTTCCATTTGTTCAAGGAAAGATATTCTTAATAAGATTTCCTGATTGAGATTTGTACCACCATTCTTTGGGCACCATTCTTATGCTCGCAGTAAGGAATTCATAATAATAAATGTGGCATTTTGACTTTCTTTGAATATTTTGGCTGAAAGCAAAATACTTATAAGGAAATGATGCTTTTGTACATAGATTTCATTACTTTGCTTCAGTATTCTCTAGAGCAAGTGAAACATCACTATGCTAAATTGTCCCTAAATTGAAGTCTTGTATGCACTTAGACATTATCTCATGGTTTTAAAAGAGGCAGTATTGTCTAAAAATCAAGGGTTGGCAAACTATGATTTATGAGCCAAATCTAGCCCATCTCTTTTTGTATGGCCTGCTAGCTAAGACTGATTTTTACATTTTTAAAATATCTAAAACTACAAAATATTTTAAAATGTGAAAAACATTCTTAGTTCGTCGGCTGTACAAAAACAGCCAGTTGGTTGGATTTGGCCTGTGACCCACGGTTTGCTGACCCCTAATCTAGATGTCAAAGCCTGAATCTTAACTCCTCAGCTATAGAATGCTACTTAGTTCCACTTTGTTGTTGTTTTTTCAGCAATTTCTTTGGCCACTGACAAGAACCATTTTAGTAGGCAATAATTCATAAATCTCAGTCAAAAAGAATCATCATCAATAATAAGATTCTAGATTGTTATTGTGCAGATGTGCCGAAGGGCTTTCATATTTAAGATTTGAATTTTATCCTCACAGTATTTTTATTAGGTAGGGATGGGTAAGCATTATATACAGATAGAGAAAATGAGGTACAAAGAGTACAATGTCCATAGAGCTTAGTTATTTACAAAATTCATTCACTGTATAGTATAAGGAACACATAGATATTCACATAAAATCTTGGTTCTGGCATCAGACATTTCTGACGTTTCTCATTAATCATTAATCCTGACGTTAAACCTGACAGGTGCCTGTGGTTTACTTTCAGTTAATTGGTTCAATTGATTTAACTTAGGCCACTTTAAAAACCTGAACTACAACTGGATTCATTGCCTGACATAATGATTTGATTTGTTAGGACACATGAGATGCTCTAGTCAAGATGAAAGAGGAGAAGACACCTCAGGAAAATCTTACAGTTCTACAAAGTGAAGTATGCTTACAAAGTAAAGTCTACGATCTTCAAGGCCAGCCAAAGGAAGAGAATGGGTAAGGACTTCACAACTAGAAAAGTCACATTAGAAATAGTGACTAAGTTTTGAGAAGTTAGGACCAAGCACTTGAACTGAACTATATATGTGTTTTTAAGAACCAAGTAAATCAATTTGAAATATACTTGAACTCACAAATTCTCTAAAATAGCAAATTGTATTTTGTACAACCCTAGTATTCCCTGCAATGTGAATATGATATACTTGAGACAGTTTCAATGCTGGTGATATCTTCTCCTCTATGATAATAAATGCAAAATGATTCAGGTATAAAAACTTCATATTCTAAGAACTGGCTTAATACTCCTAAATTTTTCCAATCTCCCTTTATTCTTTTAGGGTATCCTGGATTAACATTTATGGATTCCATCATTACATTGAAAGGCCAAAAGTGTTCCATGGCTGTGTTAGTTTGGAACACACAGATTAGAACAAGAACAGAGCTTCAAACTCTATTCCCAACCAAAACAAACACTTTTATAAAGGTTGAGTTCTTGGTTTAAACAGAAGTGAGAACATCTCATCAGTTATACAAGGGTCATACTAGACTCTACACTCAGTTGTTGAATGAGTGGATAAATAAATAAATAAATGCCTTCATAGAATCAGCAAATGCAACTTGACAATGAAGGGAATTTATATATCTCTTTGCAACCGCTTATCCAAATCCAGAGTCAGTCCAGAAATTTCCAGGGACCTTCTGAGGACTTATTTTGCCTTTTAAAGAGTTCTCTAAGTTTATCAAATATAAATTACCAAAAATACAAGTCTGTGAAAGGTAAGTACTAAGCCAGCATTACCATTACTAATAACATAACAATTACCCTGGAGTCTTAAACATTGACATTGATTTCAACAAGTTTCTACAACAAAAATGTAGCTTCCCATATATATATACTCAGTTGCTAAATCTATAAACATAGATGAGCTAGTATTATTTTCAGACCTGGATGTCTTCTAATTAATGTTTAATTCAATTCCATCTTCTGATATTTAAAGACCTCTGAGGTCACCTAAAAGGCAGCAACTATTGATATTACTGATTCAATACTTCCCCAATTATAACAACATTGAAATGCTGGGTTAGTAATTCTTTAAAAAATTTCTCTGCCTTAGTATTTAAGTAAATACTTTGACAAAGTCAAAACTAACAATAGGAGATAAATTTCTACACTGTAAAGGAAAATGTTTTTGAAACATTAGGAATATTTTCATCTCTGTTCTAGAAGTTCAGTGCTGAGATCAGTATAAGGTTTGAACAATGGACTGTATTGTACAAGTCCATTGCTGAAGCAGTTAAGCCCCTTAAATACTATTGTGTCCATTAGAAACGTCTTAAACTATTTAAGGGGTAAGAAAGCTCAGAAGCCTTGTGCCAGCTTTCCCTGACCACAGCATTCATGGAGACTTCTAGAAGAAGTTTCTGCTTTGTAATAATTCATTTTCCTTTGAAAAGTTTTGTTTTACTGAGGGAGAAAGAAAAAAAGATGAGCCTTATAAAATGAAGCCTGTGAAAAAGACATGACCAGTTGCCTGAAATGAAACCTGAAATGAAAATGAGGAGTTTGGAAGAAGGAAAACCTATTTCCTGCTTTCTCTGTGTTTAAAAAATGTCTTTACATTATTCTGTGTCATTCCATTTGATTGTAACTAAAATAGTCTCACACTCTGCCTCCCGCCCTCATTAATTTTCAGAAATTTTTGCCATCATGTTCTTTTGAAAGTTAAAGCCTTGCTTACAGATTTGGCTTCCTAGACTGTCAAGGTATTAAATGTTAGAGTGAGAGTTGAGTGTTTTTTAGTTTGGGGGTTTAAAAGAAGTTTGAGAATCCAACTCAACAATTCAAGGTAAGTATGCTATGGACCTAGTGTGAGTGATGCACAGACCCAGAGTCTTTAAGACTTTGTACTCACTGGGTATGGCATCTGAGAGAGAAGATGAGGGCAAGCCAGTTGAAAGCCAACAGTTATATTGAATTGTAAAAATGATAAGGCATTTGATTATATATATACATATATATATACACATTCATACATGCGCACACACATGTGTGTATGTATTATATGTGTGTGGGTGTATATACATATACATACATACATAAATCGGCCTATGCATAGAATAGAGAGCTGAATAGAGAGCTGGTCTTACAACTAGTCAGACTTAGGTTCAAGTTCTGCCTCTAATGCATGTTGCCTGCATCCCAGCAAGTCACTTGCTTCAGGTCTCATTGCTTCAGGCAATTCTCTAAAACTATAAGTTGCAAAGAATATGCCAACCTATATTGGTAGAGGAAACTTCTTCACCTGGCAGTTCTATACTCCATTAAGTCACAGATGCAATTCTGATCTTTATGCTTAACAGGCACGTATACACAGACACACATATGTGTATATATATATGTTTATGTGTGCATGTTAAGCATGCGCATATTTTGCGTCTGTATATATATATACATGTATGTGTATACACACACAGAGAAAGAAAGAGATAATGAGCTTAACATTTACAAAGCATTTTCATAGTTCATCACAGCAATCCTATAGAGTAGGTAATGGTATAAGGATTCTTAGAATAAGAATAGTAATAATAACTTTAGCATAGTACTTTAAGTTTTTCAAAGGTCTTTGTAGGTGTTATCTCACTGAATCCTCACAGCAACCCTGAAAGGCAGTTGCTATTATTATCTCTGTTTTACTCACAAGAAAACTGAGGCTCAGAGAGTATAAGTGACTTGCTACCGAGTATCTTGGGTTGGATATGAATCCTGCAGAATGGTATACTAGAAAAGTGCTGTACTTGAACCCAAAAGAGACCTGGGTTTGAATTTCGCCTCTTACAACTTTGTGACCATAAACAAAGTATTTAACCTTTCTAAGCCTCAGTTTCCTCTTATTTAAAATGGAGAAACTAAACACCTGTGCCACCTCCCTTACAGGATTATTGTGAGGATAAAGTGAGAGCATGGGTTAAAACACTATATAAATTTTAACCATGATAATAGGACTTCTAGTGAAGTTACATCTAACTTAAAACAGCAAAAACTGTGCCATATGGGTTCCGGTGATTGCGTGATTAAAGGAAGTAAAAATCCTTTGGCCTGTAGCTTAAGGAGAGCATCTGAGCAGAGGGCAATAAGGTAAGAAACTAGTTATGTCTCTGTGGAGGGATGGAGGCCTTTGCTCTGGAATTTTTTACAAGCTTAAGTTCAATAAAATAATGCAAATCAATATAAGGATATACTTAGAGAATCTATTGGGGAGCAGTTGTCCTGAAGGCCTAAGGAAAAGGCTTTGGGTCTCCATGACTGTCTTTAAAAAATGGAGTTTTCAAGAGATACTGAGTAAGTGAATGTGATGTTTTCCATTGATAAAAGTACTTTGAAATCCTCAAAAGAGTACATGGTTTTAAGGCTGGAAAGAACCTTAGAAAATTGTCCAGTTCAGCTTCCTTCATTTTATAGATGATCACCCATTAGTAAAGTCAGTACAGGCTTTTTAGAAACCAAATACTCTTTCAGCTATGTTCATTATAAAATTCACTAAAATAATAATAGGACTTCAAATGCATTTCTCCATTCTACATCTGTATTAATTGAGATAACATATGTAAAAGGCTCTGCAAACCTTAAAGTACTGTAGAAATGATAATTTTTATTGTGATTAAAATTATTATCTCTTCACCCTTCTCTCACTCCTAAACATAAAAGGTATTGTTTGAAAGTACTTACTTGTATATGGGATATATCAGTCAAAAGTAATTTCTGAGAGTAGAAATAAACAATGGAATCCTTATTAATATATAAATATTAGTTAAACCACAAGGATTAAGTTAGAAGAGTATATAATAAAACAATAACAAAGAGTTTCATTTAGATTTCCAAGATTAGTAATACAAGATATCATAGAGTGTGAAATATGTGCTTAAAAGAAAGCTAAATATTACTGACATCCTGTCTCTTATATTCCTAGTCTATTTTATATTAATTTCCTACCTTGATGACTAAATTAAGATTTTATACTATTTTTGAATGCAGAAATGAAGAAAAACATTTACACAGTGCGGACTGGCGACAACAATCCTTAATCCACTTTTATTCACCTTATTCGTCGGAGCCATCAAACCATAGCATAACTCTCAAAAAGTATGTGTCCAGCTCTCTAACTACAGGATTAACTTCATCTTCAGTTGTACCAAAATCTTCTAGATCATCTTCGACAAATTTTAACAGAACTGACAACACAAGTAAGCATAATATTAAAAAAAAAATGAAACATAAATTTCAAAGAAATTCTCTGTGAGGATGGCAGCCAGAAATGGCCATGTCTAGGTTGTACCTGACAGAAGATAATCATTATTCTCAAATTTTTATAGCTCACCACCATAGTCCATTCACGTACCATTTATTAAATTATCTTCATGAGTTTCTTTGGTTAAAACAAGTCAGTACCTGGTAGCTAACTTATTGTTGAAGAGGAGCCTTTCTAAATTTAGCTAAGCTGATACTCAGACAACAAACCTACATCCATTACTAGCGCTATATGCTAAAACTTTCAAGTTCAATAGGATCAGTCAGAACTTGTGCTCAACTGGTATCTCCTTTGAGAACCATGCTATCTCTACACACTACAGTGAACCATGAGAGTAGGGCTTTTAGTGGAAAAATTCTTCCCTTACAACTCCACTATTACACTTCTTTGGCACCAATTTTTGTATACCAATTGATAGAAAACCTATTGAGATTTTCTACAGAGATCAGTGGTAACTGTGTTCTACTACCAGGAGTTTCCAAAGAGGAAAATTGTGCAGACATTGGAATCAGATTCTGCACTGAACCACCTTAAACTTAAACCATTCTAAAGGAATGTCAGCCCATGTGAGGGCTGATGTTCCTATAAAGGTTACAATTTAAGGGTCTAATAAAGAAAGCACTGATTTCATTTGTGGAAAACTTTTTTTAATTGTATTTTTTTCTCCCCAATTAAATATTAAAAACAATTTTTAGCATTTTTTTAAGTTTTGCATTCCAAATTCTATCCCTCCCTTCCTCCTTGATATTGAAATAGGTTATACATGTGCAATCATGTAAAACATTTCCATATTAGTCATTTTGTACAAGAAGACTCAAACAGCAACAACAAAAAAAGAATGAAGAAAAGAAAGAACATGAAAAACAGTATGCTTCAGTCTATATTCAGACAATATCAGTTCTTTCTCTGGGATAGCATTTTTCATCATGAGTCCTTTGAGATTGTCTTGGATCATTGCATTGCTGAGGATGACTAAGCCATTCACAATCCTTCACCATATAATATTGCTATTATTGTGTACAGTGTTGTGCTGGTTCTGCTCACTTCATTTTGTATCAGTTTATAGAAGTCTTTCCAGATTTTTCTGATAATCATCCTACTTGTCATTTCTCATAGCACAGTAAAATTCCATCACAATCATATAAGACAACTTGTTTAGCCATTCCCCAATTGATGGGTATCCCTTCAATGTCCAGTTCCTAACCACAGCAAAAATACCTACTATAAATATTTTTGTACAAATAGGTTCTTTTCTTTCTCTTTTTTTTAAATCTCTTTGGAATACAGACCTAGCAGTGGTATTGCTGGTTCAAAGGCTACACAGAGTTTAGAGCCCTTTGGGCATAATTCCAAATTCCTTTCCAGAATGATTGGATCAGTTCAAAGTTCTACCAACAGTGTCCCAGTTTTCCCACACCCCCTCCAACATTTATCATTTTTCCTTTTTTGTCACGTTAGCCAATTTGACAGGTGTGAGGTAGTACCTCAGAGTTGTTTTAATTTGCATTTCTCTAATCCAGATATGGGAAACCTGTGGCCTCGAGGCCACATGTGGCCTTCTAGGTCCTCAAATGTGGCCCTTTGACTGAATCCAAACTTCACAGAAAAAATCCCCTTAATAAAACCTTTTAAACTTTATATAATCAAAATGATCCATTTTATATTTCTTAACGCTCTCCATATTTTGTTTGGTCCTAAATTCTTCCCTTATCCATAGATCTGACAGGTAAACTATTCCTTGCTCTCCTAATTTGCTTATGGTATCACCCTTTATGTGTAAATCATGGACTCATTTTGATTTTATCTTGGTATGCAGTGTGAGATGTTGGTCTAAACCTAGTATTTGCCATACCGTTTTCCAGTTTTCCTAGCAGTATTTGTCAAATGATAAGTTTTTGTCCCAAAAGCTTGGATCTGTGGGTTTATCAAACATAGATTACTACGGTGCTTTACTGCAATGTATTGTGTACCTAATCTATTTCACTGATCCACCACTCTTTCTTACTTAGTACCACATTGTTTTTGATAATTATTGCTTTATAATACAGTTTAACATCAGGTATGACTAGACCAACTTCATTCACATTTTTTTTCATTAATTCCCTTCATATTCTTGATCTTTTCTTATTCCAGATGAATTTTGTTATAATTTTTTAGCTCTATAAAATAACTTCTAGTAGCTTGATTGAAATGGCACTGAATAAGTAAATTAATTTAGGTAGAAATGGCATCTTTATTATATTGGCTCAGCCTACCTATGAGCAATTAATATTTTTCCAGTTGTTTAGATCTTAATTTATTTATGTGAAAAGTGTTTTGTAATTGTGTTCATATAGTTCCTGGGCTTAACCTGGTGGGAGACTGCTAAATATTTTATATTGTCTACAGTTATTTTAAATGGAATTTCTCTTTCTATCTCTTTCTGCTGGGTTTTGTGGGTAATATATAGAAATGCTGATGATTTATATGAGTTTATTTTGTATCCTGCAACTTTGCTAAAGTTGTTAATCATTTCAAGTAGTTGATTCTCTAGGATTCTCTAAGTATACTGTCATATCATCTGCATAAAGTAATAGTTTTGTTTCCTCATTACCTATTCTAATTCCTTCAATTTCTTTTTCTTTTCTTATTGTTATAGCTAGCATTTCTAGTATAGTATTGAATAATAGTGGTGATATTGGGCATCCTTTCTTCACCTTTGATTTTATTTGGAAGGCTTCTAGCTTATCCCCATTACAAATAATCCTTGTTGGTGATTTTCAGTAAATATTACTTATCATTTTAAGATAAGCTCTATTTATTTCTATGTTCTCCAGTGTTTTTAATAGAAATGAGTGTTGTATTTTATCAAAAGCTTTTTCTGCATTTATTGAGATAATCATATGATTTCTGTTGGTTTTGTTGTTGATATAGTCAATTATGTTGATAGTTTTCCTGATATTGAACCAGTCCTGAATTCTAGTATAAATCCCACCTGGTCATAGTGTGTGATCCTTGTGCTATATTGCTCTAATCTCTTTGATAGTATTTTATTTAAAATTTTTACATCAGTATTCATTAGGCAGATTGGCCTGTAGTTTTTTTTTTCTGTTTTCACTGTTTCTGCTTTATATATCAGCACCATATTTGTGTCATGAAAAGAACTTGATAGGACTCCTTCTTCACCTATTTTTCCAAATAATTTATATAGTATTGGGATTCATTGTTCTTTAAATGTTTGGTAGAATTTGCTTAGAATCCATCTGGCCCAGGGGATTTTTTCTTAGGGAGTTCATTGATGGCTTGTTCAATTTCTTTTTCAAAGATTGGGTTATTTAAGTATTCTATTTCCTCTTCTGTTAATTTGGGCAATTTACATTTGTATAAAGATTCATCTATTTCATTTAGTCAGATTTATTGGCATATAATTGGACAAAATAGGTCCTAATGTTTTAATTTCCTCTTCATTGATGGTGAATTCATCCCTTTCATTTTTGATACTGGTGATTTGGTTTTCTTCTTTCCTTTTTTAAATCAAATTAACCAACAGTTTATCTACTTTTCATAAAACCAACTTCTAGTTTTATTTATTAGTTCAATGATTTTCTTACTTTCAATTTTATTAATCTCTCCTTTGATTTTTAGTATTTTCAATTTGCTGTTTAATTGGGGTTTTTAATTTATTCTTTTTTTGTTTGTTTGTTTGTTTTTAGTTTCATGCCCAATTCATCAATCTGTTCTTTCTCTATTTTATTGATGCAAGCATTTAGAAATATACATTTTCTTCTAAGTACTGCTTTGACTGCATCTCATAAATTTTGGTATGTTGTCTCATTGTTGTCATTCTCTGTAATGAAACTATTGATTGTTTCTATTATTTGTTCTTTGACCGACTCATTCTTTAGGATTAGATTATTTAGTTTTCCAATTAATTTTTAATTTATCTTTCCACTGCACCTTATTGAATACAATTTTATTGCATTATGATCTAAAAGGGATGCCTTTAATATTTCTGCTTTTTTGCACTTGGTTGTGAGGCTTTTATGCCCTAATACATAGTCAGTTTTTGTGTAGGTAACATGTCCTGCTGAGAAAAATGTATATTCCATTATATTCCCATTCATTTTTCTTCAAAGATCTATCATATCTAACTTTTCCAAAATTCTATTTACCTCCTTAACTTTTTTCTTATTTAATTCTTGGTTAGATTTATCTAGTTCTGAGGGGAAAGTTGAGGTCCCCCACTAGTATATTTTTATAGTCTATTTCCTTCTGTAACTCATTTAACTTCTACTTTAAAAACTTAGATGCTATACCATTTGGTGTATATATGTTTAGTATTGATTTTACTTCATTATCTATTGGGCCTTTTAGCAAGATATAGTTTCTTTTCTTATCTCTTTTAATTAGAACTGTTTTTCTTTTGCTTTGTCTGAGATCATGATTGTTACCTCTGCTTTTTTTACTTTAGCAGAAGCGTAATAGATTCTATACCAGCTCGTTATCTGTGTGTGTCTGTGCTTCAAATATATTTTTGGTAAGCAATATATTGTAGGATTCTGATTTTTTAATCCATTCTGCTGTCAGTTTCTATTATGAGTGAGTTCATCTCATTCACATTTACAGCTATGATAACTAACTGTGTATTTCCCATATTTTCCTCCAACCAGTTTTTCTCTTGTTTATCCTTCTCTCTCTCTCTCACCTTCCACCCTATCCCTCCCCACAAGTTTTGTTTTTTACTTCTGATTACCACCTCCTGCAATCTGCCCTCCTTTCCCTTGGTTCCCTGAACCCCCTACTCTTTTCCCTGTTCCTTTTTATAGGCTTGTGGGATAAGATAGATTTCTATATCCGACTGAGTATGTATGTTATTCCAGACAATTCTGATGAAAGTGAGGTTCAAGCTTTGCTTGCCACCTTCCACCATCTTGCCCTCTACTGTGATAGCCCTTTCATACCATTTTTATGTGAAATGATTTACCCCATTCTAATTCCCTTTTCCCTCTTCTCCCAGTACAATCATTTTTCTCACCCCTTAATTTTGTATTTTTGGATATATCCCATCATAATCATCTCACATCTACACCTTCTTTCTATGTATCCTCCTTCTAATTGTCCTTGTAGTGATAAAGTTCTTAAGAGTTACAAATATCATCTTGCCATGAAGGAATTAAACGAATTAACCTTATTAAATCTCTTCTATTTTCTCGTTCCTTTTTTATCTTTTTTATGTTTCTCTTGAGTCTTGTATTTGAAGATCAGATTTTCTATTCAGTTTTGGTCTTTTCATCAGGAATGCTTGAAAGTACTCTATTCTGGGGCAGCTAGGCGGCACAATGGATAGAGCACTGACCCTGGAGTCAGGAGGACCTGAGTTCAAATCCGGACTCAGACCAAATACTTGACACTTACTAGCTGTGTGACCCTGGGCAAGTCACTTAACCCCAATTGCCAAAAAAAAACAAAAAACAAAAACAAAACAGTCCTCTATTCTGTAAATTTCTATTTTTTTTCCCTTGAAGGATTATACTCATATACATAGGTGATTCTTGATTGTGATCCAAACTCCTTTGCCAGAAGGCAAAGGATATTCCAATATTCCAAGCCTTCCGGTTCTTTAATGTAGAAACTGCTGTGTAATCCTGACTGTGGCTCCAATGATATTTGAACTGTTTCTTTCTGTATGCTTGCAGGATTTTCTCCTTGACCTGGGTGCTCTGAAATTTGGCTATGATATTCCTGGGAGTTTTTGTTTTGGGATCTCTTTCAGGTGATGATCAGTGGATTCTTTCAATATTTATTTTGCCATCTGGTCCTAGGATATCAGGGCAGTTTTCCTTGATAATTTCATGAAATATGATGTCCAGACTGTTTTGTTTTTTTTTTTTGGTAAGGCAATCGGGGTTAAGTGACTTGCCCAAGGTCACACAGCTAGTACGTGTCAAGTGTTTGGTCTGAGGCCAGATTTGAACTCAGGTCCTCCTGACTTCAGGGCTGGTGCTCTATCCACTATGCCACCTAGCTGCCCCGTTCCAGACTCTTTTTTGATAATGGCTTTCAGGTAGTCCAATAATTCTTAAATTATCTCTCCTGGATCTATTTTCCAGAGCAGTTGTTTTTCCAATGAGAAATTTCACATTTCCTATTTTTTTTATTCTTTTGATTTTGTTTTATCATTTCCTGATGTCTCGTGGAGTCACTAGCTTCCATTTGCCTAATTCTAATTTTTAAGAAATTATTTTCTTCGGTGAGCTTTTGCAACTCCTTTTCTATTTGGCTAATTCAATTTTTTAAACAGTGAATTTTTGTATATGCTTTTCTATTGTTTTGAGTTTCTTTTACCAAGCTGTTGACTTTTTTTTTCATGATTCTCTAACATTACTCTCATTTCTTTCTCAAAATTTTCTTCTACTTCTCTAATTTGCTTTTTAAAATCCTATTTAAGCTCTTCTAGGAGTTCTTTTTGGGCCAGAGACCAATTTACATTTTTCTTTGAGGCTTCATATGTAGCCATTTTGACACTGTTGTCCTCTTCTAAGTTTGTGCCTTTAATCCTCCCTGTTACCATAGTATTTTTTTATAGTTAATTCTTTTTTGTTGTTTTTTGCTCTTTTTTCTGCCTGTTTTCTGATTTTGTACTTTTATGTGAGAGTTGGACTCTGCTCCTGCAGTGTCCCAAGTTTCTTCTGCCAGGGCTCAAGGCCTTAGCACTGTCTTTCACTGGGCCTCAGGGTCTAGCTTCTGGCTTACACTGGAATAAAGAGGCCTCCCTGCTGGCTTGTACTAGGGGTAGGGCCTCTCTGTTGGCCTGTACCAGAGGTGAGATCTCACTGCTGGCCTGCTGTGTAGGTGGGGCCTCTCTGATAGCTGACAGGATCTTGTAGGTGGGACCTCTCTGATAGGAGCAGAATCTTGCTGCTGGCCTACCCCAGGGATGAAGTCTCACTCTCGGCCTGCCCCAGGGCAAGATCTCTTGCTGTTGGCTGGCCTGGGGGCGGAGCCTCACTACTGGTCGGCAATGTGGGCAGGGCCTTGCTGGTGGCCTACACTGGGGGCAGATCCTCACTGGTTCTCTACATTGAGGGTGGGGGCCTTGCTGTGCTACTGGTCTAGGACTACTGACTTGCCTCAGGGCTGCTGGCTTATACAGGGGTGGTCTCACTGATGGATTGCCCTAGGGCTCAGAGCCTTGCTGCCAGGGCCCCTCTGGAGTGTGGCCTGGTGCCCTGCTTGTTTATGGGGCTTCCCTCCAACCCCAGTGAAACAGACCTTTCTTATTGTGCTAGTAAGCTGTTTCCTCACTCCTAAATTGGTTCTGAGGTGTTGTTTGGAGGGGAATTCAGTAGGGCTCTGGGGAATTCCTGCCTCACTCCACCATCTTGGCACCATAAGTTCTGGAAAACTTCTTTAAGAAAGGAAAGGGACCAGAACTTATTTAAGACTTATGTTTGGGAGGGCAAGTTGGGGCATACCAGTTGCCCTCCCTTACTTCCCATACCAAACAAGGATATATTTGTAGAAATTCTGATAGATTTTAATTTGGAAGAGAAGAACTCAGATGTATTTACTGCTCCTAATCAATAATGTTTTTGCTAGTAACACCAAAATGATTGTTGTACTAGTGACATCATTCATCTGAACCAATTTTTCCAGGATATACATTGATATGTCACTAAAAATATTCACTTACCAGATGGCATTTCGTAGCTTCATGTTTAAGGCTTTAAATTCTCGTTGAGGAGATAATTTTATACTGATCATAAGAAATGTGAATTATGTAATGTTGCATTATAATTGGGAAAAGATGTAAATCACTGCTTCTTTTTTATCTTCTTTTTATTTGTTGCACTCTTGGTTTCTACTTCCTTTGAAAAGGTGGTAGCAGCCCCTCTATCTCTGTGCTCCAGAAGCCACATTTTGCAGTTCTAACACCTCAGCCTGCTATATTAGGAGATGGAGAGGACTACTTTCACTCTTTGTTCTTCGACTCAAAGAGACGTCTTACGCTTCCTGAATTCCCTGATAGAAATAAAACTTTGTCTCCAAATGAGGCCAACATATCTAAATCTAGGTACGTGTTCTTGTTTGAAACTGTTACCATTTAACTTAAAGGTTCATGTGATTGCAGTTGGAGGGCAGGAACTGACAGGAAATTGACTTGAACCAGAAGTTCTCATTTTTCATGGTCACTGATTTATTCCATAGCCCTAAGTCATATTCTATACCCCCTTTTAAAAAGCTGCAAACTGCAAGTAAATGGTGTATTTTAACTCTAGATAAAATATGCCAGATAAGCCAAAGCTAAAAAGAGAAAAGAAAAAACCTAAAAATACAGGCAGTTCAGTTGTTCAAGGGCCAGTTATCTAGTTGGTGGATTATTCAGGCCCATTTCTTCCCTGTTTTTGGTTTTGTTTTGTTTTGTTTTGTTTTGTTTTGTTTTGTTTTTTGCTCTTTGGCCTTTCTCCAGCTTCTTGGTGCTTGTAAAAATGACCTAAAGCAGGAAGAGAGAAAAGTGACCTTTTCTCAAACCAATCTAGTGTGATGATTATTAGAACTTTTATAAAAGGTTTGATCAGAAAGGAGATTGAAATGATAAGAAATAACATCAGCTACTTCAAGTAAGGCCAGATTATGAAGAACCTTAAATTTAGATTTATATTGATTCAGATTTGATGTGATAAAAAAAAATAGTATGCCATTGACAGTTTCAAAGCATGAAATGACATGATTAAACTGATTCTAAAGGATGATTTATTCTGTCAGTGTTATACAGAATGGAATAGAGGAGATGAGAGATGAGTCAGGGAAGCTACCTTGTTAATCTGATCTCAAGGAGGCAAGAGCATGGACTAGGGTGGTAGTGATGAGAATAGACAATGAAAAACGTGAGGGATGTTTCAGAGGAAAAATGGACAGTATTTAGTGATATAAGAGGAATGAGTCAAAGATAACTTTACCATTTCAAATATGAGTAATTGGGTGAATGCGGGTACCATTTGATAGAAATTGTGAGTTTAGAAGAGGAAACACTAGTTAATTCTGTTTTAGGACATGTTATCTTTAAAGTAGTTGGAGATTTCAAGTAACAACATGGGAGTAAAGATAAAAATTTGGGAGTTATCAACATAGAGATAGTTTGTACCATGAATATGGATGAATTCTCTAAGGGAAAGAGTAGAGAAAGAAGAACAGAGGGCCAAGCAAGGACTGAATACAATTAAAGGTTACATTGTCAAAGATTTATAAATCTTTGGGACAGTTTTGCAGATGTTTTCATGAATTCCAACCTGTGTAAACACCCAAAGAATGGAAGTGATATGTTTGATATAAATTTAATTCAGGTGAGACATTAAAAGCAGTGTTTTTATATACAGTTATTCACTCTCCTATCTCAGTATCTAGAGAAGAATTACTCTTATCCAAATCGGCTCTAGGAGGCCTGGCTACATCGTTCTTGACTTAAAGTACCACAGGTCAATTTTGGAAATTGCCTCAGGATGTTGGATCTGTTTTAGTGCAAGATTGAGAGTACAGGACAGAATGTTTCCTGGAGGGAAGATTCTGAGTTCCTTCTTGGAGGGGTAAGGATGGAGGGAGGCAGTCAGTCATAAGGGGAAAGGAGGAATGAGGAATTGGCAGGAAGGTTAGGAGAGAAGGCTTCCCAAAGCCTCTTGCCCCATACCAGATGGGTTCTAGATTGCCATGGTAGAGGATGTCTTCCCATTCCCACCAGCACCTCAATGGGAACTAAGTATGTTCAGATAGGAAAGTAAAAGCAAGACTATGAGAAAAAATACTAGGGAAATAGAATACAGAATTTACCTACCTATTCTAATTCTTTAGACATTTGAGACAAGCAGAGACCTTGTATGGATCTCTTTGGGCAGATATAATGCTCCCAACCCCATCATTAGTCAGACTGAGTAAATCCTCTACCAAGTCCAATTTGAATTCATGAGGAAATCTTGATAGTTTCTCCCGCCAGTCAACTAATTGCAAGTTTTAGGGAGGTACAAACTAGTGGAATCCAATAGCCCGAAGGCAAATTCCAAGTAACAGGTTAACTGGTTTTCCATTACCTGCAGAGTAATGGAAAGCATCTAAAAGCAAATTAAAATAAGATTGCTACCATGGAACTGTCTTGGAGAGCCTACCTAAAGTCAGTGCAAATAATGCAAAGATGACAATTTTACAAAGGAGCTTGGTAGCTGAAACATTTAAAGTACTTAATATTTTTTTCATTCAGAGGAAGAATGTTAATGTAGTCATAGGTCTTATAATAAGTAAAAGATGGCATGTTTATAGGGAGAAAGAAAAGGATATTGGTAAGATAATGCTATCTTGGTTAACCAGTTATATAAAGCTCTCACTGGTGCATACTATGGCTAGAGTTGAGGGGTTAAGAGGAAGGCATAGAAGAAGGAATAGGTTACTTAATCCATTTTCTTACCTAACATGTGTGTGTGGATTAAAAAAAAGTAACTTAGAAGTCTACCTAACAAATATTGGTCCTATCTTCATATATCGAATTATTTGTCAATTTGTGAAGTATTTCCCCATAAATTTGGGTCTTTTTTTAAAAGGAAGGCAATTGAAATTATTAATTCTGATATTTTATAGAGAAGTCTTTTGGTAAAGCAAATTATATGCATTTGATATATCAAACTTAAGGGCAAAATGCATCTTTAAGCTTAATAAATTAATAGCACTTTTGAGTAATCAGAGGTTTAAGAAAATGCATGCATATCAATTAACTGCATGTATGAGTAATTTTAAAATAGCCAAGTGCTTATCTGTTTAAATACGCAATTTACAAGTTAGTACTTAGTAGCATCCTGTGGAGAAATGATGAATGCTTGTATTGGAAAAGGGACAAAAGAATCTCCTGTTTAAAAAAAAAAACTTCATAAAGTAAAATAATAAAATGTTTCATTCTCAACATGTCTAGAGAGGCATGTAATGAGTGTTTTCTCTCAAGGAAAGAAGTAGGCATTTAGTTTTGTAAGAAATTAACCATCCCCAAATACCCCAAATTTGATCAGTCAATTGATTGATAGATGGATGTGTATACACACATTATATATGCTATATGTACATACATATATATATAGCACTGACAAAAAGCAAACAAAAAAACTTATATGTATCTCAGATCAAACAGACCCCCTTCTTCCCAGTGCTTATAAAAATGAACTCAAGCCTTTCTTTTGTTGAGACTGCATCAGATTTTGCCAAGGTGATGCACGATGAGATGGCAGGAAAAAAGACTGAGCTAAAATGAAAATACAGAGATTCAGTTTCTAGAACTGCCACAGCCAGCAACACAGGGAAGGATTTAGAGCAAGTCATGATTTCTGAGCCTCTCTTTCCTCATCTATAAAATAAAACAGTTGGACTAGATCAGGAATTCTTAACCTTTTTTTAAGTCATGGACCCATTTGGCAGTCTTTAAAACTGCCTATGAAACCCTTCTCCATCCAAAAAATATTTTTTAATTCATAAAAGAAAATATGTAGGATTACAAAGGAAAATAATTATATTGAAATACAGTTATTAAAATATTTTCCATCCAAGTTCATGGATCCCATAAACTATCCCCACAGACCCAGACCCCAAAGTTAAGAACCCTTAGATTAGATAATTCCTCAGATACCTTAAATATCTTAAATCCTGATTCTATCAATCTGTGATTCTTTGTTTCTAGATAGTATACTGTGAATCCCACCAAATAGTAAGGCATGTACTTTGAGTTGTTTGTCTATCAGGGAAGTGGAATTTTTTCCCTAGGTTATACATGGTTCTACCCAGGCCCCCTTGAAGGTAGAATTTGTAACCAGGAAAGGGATTTTCTTTCAGTGGAAAACTCTCTATCCTATAAAACAAATGGCCTGTGAAGTCACAACCTTGATCTTATTAGCATCACCCTTTGAACAACCCAGCTGAACAGTTTAGACTAGGGAAAATGGCCTCACCTTGACGGTAATTTCAGCAAGTGACTCAGTCCATCATAACCTGCTCAGTACTATCTGTCTTCAGGATAAAAACAAATACTAGCTCATTTTGTTATTTTTAGTTTTTAAAAGAATAATTCAATAAGAGAGATGACAGCATAGAGAAGTTTTTTGTTTTTTTAAAGGTCATTATCCTGACCTTCTTTTTACCCAGTAAGAATGACATGGAACAAGATAAAATAAGGAGAAATTTTCAAAACATTGATTTTTATTAATATTCTTAAAGATAAGTGTCATAACCATATCACAAGTAAATATGTTAAAATATAAATATCTTGGCTAAGATCATTTAAAACCTATGGAGTATTCAGAAAAAGACAGCTTGGCTTTCTCCCATTAAAATTCTTATGAGAAGATTAGTCTGGGAAACTTTCTAGTGATAATTGACCTAATATTTTGAGGACTGAAAATACACACCCAAATAATTTGCAGTTGTCTCACGAAGAAATCTATCAATGTTTATGCTGGTTTATAACTTAATTTAAGAGCCCCTAGATGGTGAAGTAGATAGAGTGCCCAGCCTGGAGTCAGGAAGACCAGAGTTCAAAACTGGCTTCAGATACAGGTTGTCTCAGCCCTGAGCAAATCACTTAATTCTGTTTGCCTCAGTTTCCTCATCTGTAAAATGAATTAGAGAAGGAAATGGCAAATCACTCCAGTATTTTTGCCAAGAAGATCCCAAATGGGGTCACATAAAATCAGACACAACTGAACAACAACCAAAAAAAACACCTTAATTTCTTCATTTAAAAAGAAAGACATCATTTTCCACCTATAGCATAAAAATATCTTGTGTTTGTATGATCCTTTCAACTTTAAAATATTTTTCATATACATTTTCTCATTTCATCATCATAGCAGCTCTGAAATTGTTAGGACAGGCATTATTATCCCCATTTTTCTTTTTGTTTTGTTTTGTTTTGAGAGTCAGTTGGGGTTAAGTGACTTGCCCAGGGTCATACTGCTAGTAAATGTCTGAAGCTGGATTTGAACTCAGGTTCTCCTGACTTCAGGGCCAGTGTTCTATCCATTGGTCCACCCAGCTTTCCCTATTCCCATTTTTCAGAAGAAAAAATAGACATGGACAAAATGCTTTATTGGCAAAGTTTAGGCAGTTTCCTGACATTCTACCCCAGGCTATTTCTAGTAGAGTACAACACTTCCACCCTGAGGCTTTTGTGCACAAGGAACTATATAACAAGAAATGAAAATGGAAAACAAATTAAAATAAATACAATCTCATGTTCCCAGAGAACATAAGAGAGATAACAATTTTGTAAAGGAAGGAGTCATAAAGAAATTAAGATATTCACCTATGGTCACATAACATCAATATCTGAGCTATAACTGGGTGCAAAGTTTTATCCAATAAGATCAAAGGATTGTAGATTTAGATCTGGAAAAGGATTCATAAGATCATAGATCCCAAACTGAAAGAGACCTCAAGTCATTTAATCCAATCCCCTCATTTTACAGTTGAGGAAACTGAGGCCCAGAGAGATCATGTGGTTTGCCCAGGGTCACTTGGGTGGCAAATAATAGAGCCAGGATTTGAATCCAGGCTTTTTGAACCCAGGATCTAAATACAATGCTCTTTTTACTGCCACATGCTTCATCCCTATAATAACTCATTTTTCTTGGATTTTTAAATAACATACCAGGGTCTTTTATTATTCTGCTATTAAATTGCTTTGATCACAAAAGGTACAACCTTTTAAAAGTACATTACATTATTTTATAGTGCTCTTGGAGACATTAAAATAGTTGAAGTGAGTGGCAGTGGTTTGTTTGTGAAGATGATTAACTCTTCTCCTGACAAAGAACTGGCGATTGGAGATCATATTCTCCAACAAAATGTGAATGGCCATGCAGTCTCCTTGTATAAATTCCACCCAAATATTAGAATGCCAGCCAATGCTGCAATAACTGTGAGTATAAGATATAAGTATACTGAATAATATTGTGAAGAACCAATAATTTCATGTTAATAATTCTATAATTAATGTTATAGAAGCATAGAATTATAGTTGAAAGTCTCAAAAGTCACTTAGGAGATTCTTTACCCAAAGCATGAAACCTGTCTTCAACATCCACAGCAAATTATCCATCAGTCTCTTCTTGAAGGTCTTCAGTGATATGGAACTCTTCACTTCCTCAATCATCCCTTTCAACTTTTAAACAGATCTAATTGTCAGGAAACATTTCCTTATGTTAAGATGAAATATGTTTCCCTATATTTACTACTCATTGGTTCTAACTCCACTCTCCAATGCCAACCCTCTTACATGATAACCCTTTGATGATAATAAGTTAAAATAGCTATTATCTCCTATATCTTTACCTGAAACTTCATGAAATCCATATAACTTTTTTATATAATCTCTTCCAGGCATGAAGGCATCTATCATGTTCCCACTAAGTCTTGTCTTCCTCTGGCTAAATATTCCTAGTTTATCCCAATTTCCTATAGCATTTTGAGTCCCCTCACCATCTTGGTCAACCCCCTTTCTATTCATACCAGCTTTCAACATCTCTTCTAATGTGCAGTACCAGTACTCGTTAAAGTACTCCAAGTGTGGGCTGTCCAGGCCAAAGCAGTGTGAAACCATTACTTCTTTTGATGTTAATCCTGTATATCTCTTAATGTAGTCCAAGATTTTATTTATTTATCTATTTATTTATTTATTTATATACACACACACATATATATGTGTATATATGTATATGTATATGCATGTATATGTATACACACACACACACACATGAAGATTTTTTTAGGCTACTTCATTACCCTGTTTACTAATCTTGATAGCTTATTAAAATCCTTTTTTTTTCCACACGAACTAACTGCTTTTTAACCATTTTTCCTCAATCATGCCCTTGTATAATTGATTTTGTTAGCCTAAGTGTAAAACTTTGCAGTTGTACCTTCCCATTAAATTTCATCAAGTTAGAATCGACCCAAAGTTCTGGGCTACAAAGATCTTTTGGGATTCTGATTTTTTTTTAATATAATGATATCTTTTATTTTTTATATTACCTTCTTTCCCTACATGTCCTTTTCTACCTCCCATTCCCAAGAGGTATCCTTTATGATGAAAAATAAAAAGGAAAGTGAAAGATACAGTTCATAACACAGCAACTGAGAAACATATATAAATGTTCCTTATCTATGGTCTCCTACCTCTATTTAAAAAAAAAAGGAGTGAGGGAAATTCTCTATCTTTGCTTCTGGACCAGGCTCAGCCATTATAACTACAGAGTATTCAGTTTTGTTTGCGTTGTAGTTATTGCGCATATTATTTTCCTAGTTTTGCTTATTTTGTTTTATATCAGCTCATGTCTTCCCATGCTTCCCTGAATTTTTAATATTCATTGTTTCTTAAGGTACAGTAATATACTATTATATTCATGTGTCAGAATTTGTATAGTTGTACTCTAAATGAAGGGCATTTACTTTGTTACTGGTTTGCTACTATAAAAAGTACAATTATAAAGTATTTTGATGCATAAGACCTGTCTTTGACCTTTGTGATATATGACAGGCAATGAGATCTCTGGGTCACTTTTTTTTAACTGTTTTATTTTTTCCAATTAATTACATGTCAAGACAATCTTCAACATTCATTTTTTGAAAGATTTTGAGTTCCAAATTTTTCTTCCTCCCTCATCTCTCTCTAAGACAGCAAGCAATCTGATATAGGTTATACATGTACAATCATGTTAAACATTCCCACATTAGTCATATTGTGAAAGAAGAAAGAACAAAAAAAAAAAAGAAAAAAAGCCTAAATAGTGTGCTTCAATATGCATTCAGACTCCATCAATTCTTTCTCTGGATGTGGATAGCATTTTCCATCATGAGTCTATTTGGAATTGTTTTGGATCATTGTATTGCTGAGAAGAGCAGTTGATCATTGTACAATGTTACTCTTACTGTATACAATGTTCTCCTCGTTCTGCTCACTTCATTTTGCATCAGTTCATGTAAGTCTTTCCAGGTTTTTCTGAAATCCTATCTTATAGCACAACAATATTCCATTCCATTCATATATCACAACTTATTCAGCCATTTCCCAACTGATGGGTATCCCCTCAATTTCCAATTCATGGCCACCACAAACAGAGCTGCTTTAATATTTTTGTACATGTAGTTCCTTTTCCCTTTTTTATGATCTCTTTGGGATACAGACCTAGTAGTGGCATTGCTGGATCAAAGAGTGTGCATAGTTGGATTGCCTTTTGGGCATAGTCTGAATTATTCTCCAGAATAGTTGGATCAATTCATCTGGGTCATTTTCTTAACCTAATTTTAAATTGCTTGTCAGAATGGTTAGACTAGTTCATAGTTCCCCCAACAATGTATTAGTTTATCTTTCCACAATCTTGCCCCTGCATTGATTAGTCCCATAATTTGTCATTTTTGCTAATTTTTTGGGTGTGAGCTGAAACTGTTTTTGTTAACATTTTCATTTCTGATTATTAGTAACTTGGAGCAATATTATACATATACACTGACCACTTATCCATTACAGGATGGCTCTTATTCTTGTATTCAGTTTATAGCTTGGATTTCAGACCTTTATCAGAGATACTGGAGGCAAAGGTTTTTCTTCCTAGTTGACCACTTCCCTTCTTATTCTAACTGCATTGATTTTGCTCATTTAAGTTTTTCAGTTTTATACAATTGAAATTATCTATTTAATCTTTTATGATTATTTATATCCCTTATTTCATTAAGAATTCTCTCCTAGGCATAGCTGTAAAAGATACTTGATCTGGTTCTGTTTAAAATTTTTTTATGATATGGCCTTTGATATTCAAGTTACACGAGATTCTGATTCTGTTATCTAATATGTTAGTTTCCAACATTGTGTCACTCACAAATTTATAAGGATGTGATCTATGCCTCATTCAATTCATTGATGGAAATGTTGAAATGAACACAGACAACAGGGCTAGCACATCTGGTGTGAGAGTTTACTGAGCCCTTTTCAGGTCTGTTCATCCACCTTTGGTGCCTGCATAGCACTGAATTCTGACCTGTGGTTCCAAGAAACTGTTTCATGCACAGCAGCTATACCCTGGTAAATTTTCTTGGTAAACAGGCTAAACCAAGCTGAGGGTAACCAATGGGCCTTAATCACTTTAGTGAGTTAGGGAGATGTCTACCTTAAGCATGTAAAGACTTCTCCCAGCAGAATGGGCAGATGAGAACAATCTGTTCCAGTGGCCATGAAGGCAGCTGAAAGCAGGTACTATAAAGCACTTATAACTTGGTCAAACATCAGAGATCCCAAGGTCATCCACTGCATCCCTGGCTATTGCCAGTTGTCTTGACTTTTGTCTTGCCACTGGACTTTAATGACTGTGGAAGAGAGAATGAGACTGACAAACTTTATATAATTCTGCTCACTTAAATCCAACTCATGAACTAGTCAAGACATCATGCTGTGATATCATTGGTCCTCTTTGAAAACAAAGGATAAATAATGTTTCATTATTCCACTAAAGTCCTCTCTTCAGGTTGAAATTAACCAACACTCTTTGGAGTTTGTCATTCAACTAGTTCTGAAACCATGTAATTATTTTATCCTCCAGTCTATTCACTGCTAAGAGACACAGTGGATAGAATGCCAGACCTGGAATCAGGAAGATTAATTTTCCTGAATTCAAATCCGACCTCAGGCACTTGCTTGATGTGTGATCCTGGGGAAGTCGCTCATTCTGTTTGCCTCACTTTCCTTATCTGTAAAATGAGCTGGAGAAGAAAATAGCAAACCACTCCAATATCTTTGCCAAGAAAAACCCAAATGGGGTCATAAAGAGTCAGACATGACTGAAACAACTGAACAACAAATCCTCTAATCCATATCTCCCCATCTTGTCTGCAGGGATGAAAGACTTTGTAAAATGTTATAGCATTTTACATCTACCATGCTACCAAGTCTGTCAAAAAAGGAAATAAAGGTAGTATAACAGGATTTATTCTTAACAAATTCATAGTAGTGCTCCATCATGACCACTTCTCCTTCTGAGTACTCACAAACCATCCTTTCAATAATCTATTCTAGAATTTTCCCAGAAATTGATATTAAACTTACCATCCTATAATTTGAAGTATCCCTCTTGTTTTCATTTTTGAAAATTGGGACATTAGCCTACCTACAATTTCACATCTTTCCCATTCTCTGTGATTCCTCATATCGTAACTCACAGTCACATAGTGCTTTAACATCTGAAAATAATTTTCCTCATAATAAATGTGCATTAGTACAAGTATTATTATCCCCCTTTTATAGATGAGGAAACTGAGGCCCCAAGGCCAACCTTTGAATACACCAATCATGAATTAGTTAAATAAGGTTAAACACATTGATTGGTATTAAATCCTCTGCAGTAGAAACCATTAACTCATGAACATTCATCAGCAATTCTAGCTGTTTCCTCTCCCACTTTGGGTGAAAGAGCTCAATCTCATCATCCATTTCCTCTAGCTGTCCTGGCAGCATGAAACATGAAGTTACCACCATATTATCACTTCTTTTTCTCTCCATTGCCTCTCATCCAAATGTGTTCCACAGTGTTTCTTCCAGTCAAGTTCATGACTTTTCACAAAGGTGAATTAACTTCCTAAAGCACAGTCCTACCCTTTATTGAATTTGTTCCTTTTTAAGTATGTCTGTGACCTTGAACAGGCTATTTTCTGTGGCAGGAATCCCTTCCTACCTCCACCTCTTGGCACCTCTTCTCCTATTTTTCTTCCAATGTCATACCTGCTGAGCTCTCTAATATATGGTTTAGCAGCTATGTCTGAACTCTTTTCTTCTTGCCCTTTACTTTTCAGTTTTTAACTCTTAATTAGGTCAGTATCTAAGCAAGTAATTTCCAGGCATCATTTGATATATAACATTCCTGAATACAAGCTTGTTCATTTGACAAACATTTTCAGAAAGTCTATTGTGTGTATGTAATCACATACAGAATTTAGGTAAGACACAGCCCTGCCTCCCTGTGTCTTCAAGGTCCAGAAAGCTGAATCCCATTCTCTGAAGCAATTTTCTAAGCCAGCTGTTCACTTCCTATATCCTTCCTTCTGACCCAAAATCCCTGGCTTCACTTGGTAACAGAAATGAAAACAATGCACTCATCCCAAAATTCTCCAGTTTCTTGGTGAGGTCTTCATATTTTAGAGTTCTTTCTGATGATACATGTCATGCTCACTTGAATCACCAAGAGTACGTGGCAGTCCTCAGACTTAATACATTGCTAGATGTTTTCTGGCACATTTCAGATGTCTCTGTCTTTGAAAGATGGTTTATCTCTTGATTGGATATGGTAAGTCAACTGTCACTTCCTCACCTTTAGCAGAAAGTTACTTCCTCCCACAACACACCTCATCTCCCTGGAGTAGCAGTAGCCGCTTACACTCTTGATGTCAACTGCTGACATCTCACCTCCTGAGAAGGTCCAGATCCAACTCAATGGCCAAAAAACCCCTTCCTCCTACCAAAAGCCTGATCTTGCCATTTCAGCTTCATTGCTCTGTTCTCTGGATAAATGCTAACATTTGTAGTAGATTGCCACAGTTTTCATCCCTCATCTCTGTAATGTCTTCAGATGTAATATTTTATTAATATTAGAAATTTTATGAAAAATAGCATGTAGATCTCCCCTTCCTCCCAATCTTTAGTGCAGAACATACTCTAATTCTTGCTCCAGTTAACTTTGACCTAACAAGAGAATCAAGGAGTTCATTTACCTGGAGACTGATTATTTATTTGATGTCTGTTGTTTTTTTTTCCCTATTTCCTGTAGGTTTGGGCAGCATCATCTGAGGTAAAGCATAATCCACCATCAGATTTTCTTTGGAAGGAACAAGACAAGTTTAGAACAAGTCTCAACTGTACAACCATCCTGTGTAAACCCAATGGTGAAGTCAGTGTTGGATTCATAATAGTTGCTTATAATTTAATATATAGATAGACCTCCTGATGTCCCCTAATCCCTTTGGCTTACCAGGTTACTTTGGCATATTTAAAAATTTAGCAAGAAACACAAGTAAATACAATCATAGATTGAGACAGATCAGCAGCATCTGCTCTCCAATACCAAATGTGCCAAAATTGGTTAAAGAGTATATAAAGCAGAAAAAGTCTTGAACTTGAAATCAGAAGAGCTGAGTTCAAATCCCTATATAATCTTGGACAAGTCACTGAACAGGATAAAATAGAAATTTTATGATGCAGAGTGTGTGTGCACCGGGTAGCAATGAGGACTATGAACAATGCCTGGACATCCACCCCCTACATTATCAATGATATTTAGGTTCAGGTTAGAGAAATACAGGAGGAAAAAATGAGAATGGGAGGTGAAATTCAATATTTCAGGCCTTTTCTGTGCTGTCTTTGTCTCTGGTAACTAGTAAAAAAAAAAAGTAATAACTAATAAATAATTAATAAATAAACAATAGAATCGAGAGGTTTGGTAGCTATTGTAAAAATCCTATCTTTCTGTCTCACCTGCAGTCTGATTTACTTAATCATATTGCCATTAATACAATAGATGAGTAAGAATTTCCTTCAAGATTCATAGATTTGTAGAGTTCATCTAGGTCAGGGGTAGGGAACTTGTGGCCTTCTAGGTCCTTGGGAGCAGCCTTTTGACTGAGTCCAAGTTTTACAGAACAAATCCTTTTATTAAGGGAATTTGTTCTGTGAAGTTTGGATTCAGGCAAAGGGCCGCCCTTGATGACCTAAAGGACACTTGGCCTCAAGGCCGCAGGTTCCCCGAACCTGATTTAGGCCATCCCCCTACAAAATGTGGGAATCCCCTCTACAATATCTCTGATAGTGGTTCTTTCAGTCTCTCTTAAATTCCTTTATTGTCAGGGAATTCATTACCTAATGAATGTAGAGTGCCTTTATTATATTCTCCAGAAAAATCTGAACTTATAAAACAGTGGGTTTTAATTTTTAGTATGTCAAGGCTCTTTGTCTCAGTGGTGTGGGAACTCTCTCCATACACAGACTTCAACCCTTCCATAACTTAGTGAATAAATCATGGAGAGATATCTGAGGCTCAGGGCAGTTAAGTGACTTGCCCATTTTCACATTAGCTAATCATAATTGGAGACTGGATTTGAACTAAGGTCCTCTTGCTTGCAAGTCCAGGACTTTCATCTGTCAGGCCAGATGTAAGATCTAACAAAAGAAGTTGTCAAATATGCATTGAAATTGTTAGTGGTTCAAGAGGGTGGGCCTCTGTGTATTGAAGAGAGAATTGGCTATGAAGACTGCTGTTGAACAGACCAGGCTGTAGTCATTCTGCATTACAGTATAAAATTTTGAAAGGCTTGTAGTACAAATCAGAGGGATAAAGAAGCAGTTCCTTCTCAGCATCTTTGGGAATTTAGGCTTCCCTTCTTGACTGTCTGTTCTGAGTCTCCTTAAATGACCTAGTTGCTTCACTGAACTCTCAGGGGTAGCATCTATGTACCCCATGAAAAGTAAAAGCGGGGGCTCTCACGAGCCTCCTCTCTGGAGGGCTACAGAAATGGCCAGTTCAAGGAATCAAGGTCACAAAACTTGCCTATTCCTATAACCAGTGACCCTTGGTAGTCTTTTATCAGCTTTCATGCACTTCTCTTTAGGGCTCTTTATAAGGTTACACTAAATTTTCTAGTATTTCTGTAATATATGATTTGAATCCCCAAGGTGGGGAACAGGAGGCATGAAGAGAGCTTGTTATTTGCCTAAGGCAACAACCCAGAAATCCTTTGCTGATCTTGGAGTACAACCCAAGAGGACATTGTTTCCAAGCAGGTCATCAAAACCTCTTCCTCTCCTTCACTGTTTCCTGCATCTTAATTATATACTGTACTTAAATACCTCCTTTCATTTCAAGATTCCAAGTACTTTGTAAATAGAGGTTCTTGATTTTTCTTTTACAGATATAGGCACAGGGACTTTAGATTACTTTTCCAGAGATGGAGAGGCCCAGATCAGAGATCTTCTTGGAAGACATCTCAGTTACTAACACTGAAGCTTCTTATACAAACTATATGTTCTGTACATAGATGCTTTATGTATAGTCTTGAGCCATATTTTAATACCTGTGTTCAAAGGGAGTCAGCTATTTCCTGTACATTCTTATTTACCTAAATTTGGGGGAAGAGTTGTATAAGAAGTGATAAAGATGAGATCAGAAGAGTGAAGAACAGGGAGCAAAGTGCAGACATTATTATGGTCCTTTTACATCCACAAGGGATTCCACATAGAAATTCAATTGGGGGTGTGGTGAGAGGGGCAAAGGGAAGAGAGCCTAGAAGTCATCTCAATCACACCCATAGAATTTAGAGCTAAAAGGGACTTACAGCGAACTAGTTCAACCTGCACTTCTACAGATGAGTACACTGAGGACCAGAGAGGTTAAGCAACTTATCCAAATCCATAGTATGGGTCTGATAAAGGTTTCTTTACTTCTGGTCTATAAAAGCCAATAAAATCAAGCAGGACTTTTATTTCATTCATGAAATATTCGTGATACTTCATCAAAGTCCTACTTTAAAAACAACTATTTGTGTTTTAATAAGTTATAGAATATTCCTTAAACACTAGCAATTAATATTGGTTTAAGATAAGGACACTACACTCATTGATAAGGGGGAGATTCAAATAGAAAGTTGGTAAATTCTGGCTCTATCTGTGATAAAGATCTCTTGGTTAAGTCATAGATCCATAAAATCCCAGAATTGAAAGGGTCATCAAAGATCATCTAGTATAACCAATACCTGAGTTTTGATTCCTTTTACAGCATACCTACCAAGATGTCCTTCCCTCTTTGCTTGAAGACTTCCAGTCAGGGGGAATTCACTGTCTCCTGAGGCAGCCCATTCCACTTTTGGATAGCTTTAATTGTTAGGACACTTCCTTATAGAAGCGTAAATATGACTGCAACTTCCACCTGTGGCTCTTATTTCTGCCCTCTAAGGTTAATCAGAACAAGTGTAATGCCTCTTCCATGAGACAATCCTTCAAATATTCTTTCCAAATAGCTATGAGGACAGTACCCTAATGTTCTCTTCTCCAGGCTAAACTTCCCCAGTTCCTTCAACCAGTTTGATATAGCATGTTAAGGGCCTTCACCATCCCAGTTGTTCTCTGCTGCACTACAGTTGATCAATAGCATTCCTAAAATGTAGCACCTAGGCCTAGACCTAGAACTCTAGTTGTGGTTTGACTAAGACAGAGTACGGTGGGACCACCATTTTCTTATTCCTAGAAATTATGCCTCATCCCTTTTTTGGGGGCTTAAGATTGAATTAGCTTTTTGACTACTACATTATACTGTTGACTTATATTGAATTTGCTGTTCACTAAAATCCCAGACCTTTTTCAGAGAGACTGCTGGCCAGCTTGCATACCTCTGATCTCATACTTGTGAAACTGATAATTTGAACCCAAGTGTTTGGGTTCAGAATATTGAATTTCATCTTACCAGATTTGGCCCAACATTCTAGCCTGTCAAAATTTTGTTGAATCCTGATTCTATTATCCAGTATGTTGCTAACCTTCCTAACATTGTGTCATTTACAAAGATGATAGTGTAATTATATAAACTCCAAATTGGTTGAATGACTAGACTGGAAGGGCAGTCATTCTCAGCTTGGCTATTGGTCTCCATTACAGTGCACTAGGGATCTGCATTTGGTCTTGTGCTGTTTAACATTTTTATCAGCGACTTCATTAAAGACACTTGCTTATCAAGAAAATGCTTATCATATTTCCTGATGACACTAGGCTAGGAAGGATAGTTCATAAACTAGATAATGAAATCAGTATTTGAAATATGCTGACAGTCTAGAACATTGGACTGAATCAGGTAAAATATAATAAGAGATAAAAGTTTTACATTTATCTTTCATAAATTGACTTCACAAGTATAAAATGAAGGAGGCATAGGTAGATAGCAATTGTCTGAAAAAACATCTGGGTTTTTTTTTGTGGATAGCAAGTTCAATATAAATAAACTGTGATGAAAGAAAAAAAGAAAACTAATGTGATCATGAGCTGCACTAAGAGAAGTCAATCTTCTGGAAATATGGAAGTGGTTGTCCCACAGGATTCTGCCCAGTCAGATCACATGTGGATTGCTGTGTTCATCTCTGGGTGCAGCAGTTTAAGAAGAACACAGATAAGTGGGGAGGGTAACTGGAATAAAAAAGGGCCTTGAGTTTACAAGTTACATGAGGATCATTTGAAAAATCTGTGTATGTTTAACCCGGAAATGTGAAGATTTTGTTTGGAATAGTGGGAATTGTTGTAGGCAAGTATTTACGAGGCTATTAAGTGGAAAATAGATTCAGTTATTACATTTGTTCTGTTGAAGATCTCAGGTCAGAAACAGAAACAATGGGTAGAAGTTGCAAATAGGAAAATTTAGGCTTGACATTAGGAAAAATATAACTATTCCTGAGTGGGATGTAGAGGGTTTCCTTGAAGAGAGGTCTTTGAGAAGAAGCAGAATGACCACTTGTCAGATCAAATGTTGTAGTAGGAGATTTCTTTTCAGCTATGGGATGGGCTAGATGACTGTTGAGGTCCTTTCCAACTCTAAAATTCTGTGATTCTTTAAACTTGTTTAGCATGCTAGCTATGCTTTTATCCGGGTCATAGGTAAAAGTGTTAAAATAGCACAGGGCCAAGTATCAAACCATAAATGATTAATTTTTGAGATCTGGCTATTTACCCAGTTCCAAATCCACACAACTCTACTATTATTTAATTCACATCTGTTTTATCCATGAAAATAGCATGAGAGTCTTTATCAAATTCTTTGTTTTCTAGTACCTCAGTTTCTTCCTCTGTTTAAAAGAAACAGAATACCCTTCATAAAAGAGGGTCTTGTGATGGCATTGTCTAAAATGCTATAGAAAA